CCATCTTTATTCGGAGAAATGCCAGCGGAGGAGCAACTGCTCTCGGAGGGGCTGGCTGTGCCGAGCGTGTGCCACCAAAGCAGGAGCCATTCGAAGGGGGTGGAAGAGGCTTTGCCATCTCCTTTTCTCTAAGAAGTGATGGTGTGAGGGAGCAAAAAATACCCCACAAGCTGGGTCAGGAGGTGGCTGAGCATCCGAGAGCCGGGCGGTCAGAGAAAGCTGGTTCCTCTGCTCTGAGCTCTGCTTGCTGGGACGCACCGTGCTGCTGGTGGCCAGGAGAAAATGAGTTCAGTGGCCACACGTCCTGTCGGGGAGGCAAGGATGGAGGGGGCTGCTCTTGGGGGGCTCAGAAGCGGCCAAAGGTGGTCTGCTCTGCTCCCCCTGCAGCCTTGGGCCTTCCTGGCTCCCTTCCCCAGCCCTGCATCCAGCAGGCGTGTTATTTTTAAAAATAAATTAAATGCGAAGAAGAGCCTCTATCTAGGCCTTCAACTGGAGTCTTAATTGGCCTCGCTCCCCAGGGACCAGGCGAGCCCTGGAGAAGGCCGCGCTATCGCAGTAATGAGCTATTAATAAACAGCTCGGCTCGGCTCTGCCGGGGCCAGATGGGGACTGCGGGGTCCTGGTTGTCACTGCAGGGGACATGGGGTCTCCACAGCTGGGGTGGCTTCTGCGGGATGTCCTGGGGCTGGCAGAGATCTGCAGGGGCAGAGCCAGCCTTGGCTTCTTGCTCCAGAGCTGGCATCCACCTGGGTTTGCTGGGAGGAGGCTCATCCAGCAACCGTGAATCACAGTCTGGCTGGGGTTGGAAGGGACCTCTGGAGATCATCTCCTCCAACCCCCTGCCAGAGCAGGGTCACCCAGAGCAGGTCCCACAGGAACGTGTCCAGTAGGGTTTGAATGTCTCCAGAGACAGAGACTCCACCACCTCCCTGGGCAGCCTCTGCCAGGGCTCTGGCACCCTCACAGGAAAGAAGTTCCTCCTCATGTTTGTATGGAATTTCCCATGTTCCAGTTTGTGCCCGTTGCCCCTTGTCCTGTCCCCGGGCACCACTGAGAAGAGTCTGGTCTTGCCACCCACCCTTTAGCTTTTGCTCAGCATCGATGAGATCCCCTCTTAGTCTGCTCTTCTCCAGCTGAAAAGCCCCAAGTCCCTCGGCCTTTCCTCCCAAGAGAGATGCTCCAGGCCCCTCATCATCTTTGTAGCCTCTGCTGTCCCCTCTCCAGCAGTTCCCTGTCCTTCTGGAACTGGGGAGCCCAGAACTGGTCCCAGTGCTCCCAATGTGGCCTCCCCAGGGCAGAGCCGAGCAGAGGGGGAGGATGAACCTCCCTCCAACTGATGCCCACCCTGTTCCTGATGCACCCCAGGAGATCGCTGGCCTTCTTGGCCACAGGGACACATTGCTGGCTGGTGGGCAACTTAACATCCACCACGACCCCCAGGTCTCTCTCTGCAGAGCTGCTTTTCAGCACGTCAGCCCCAACCTTTACTGGTGCAGGGGGTTATTCCTCCCGAGGTGCAGCACCCTCCAGTTGCCCTTGTTGAACCCCCCCCCCCCAGAGGGTTTGGTGTGAGTTTTGGGCCTGTGCCCAGCTCCTCCTTGGCACCCATGGGTGGGGGCTGTGGGGCAGCAGGGGCAGCTGATGCTCTGCTCTGGCTCTGGAGGGGAAGGAGAGCTCCTGCTCCCCAGCTGCCGGGTAAAACAACGCCAGCGGGTTCATACCTTTGCTTAGAGGATCAGGTGGCCAAAGTAGTAACCAAAAGTGGAGTAGGGTTACCCTGGGCTCATCCATAATGAACACGGCCGAGAGACGGCGTGGTCCTGGGCTGCCTCGGCACAGGGAGGGGAAGGGGCCAGTCCCCCCATCCCAGCCCCTCGGGGGGAAGCAATGGTGGGCAAGGGATCCAGCCAGGCGTGGGAGACCATTAGCCTGGCCGAGACGCCTGGGTGTATTTATTTAGTGTAGAGGCAGCAAATAAAATAAGCCTCACAATAAATCGGGAGGATTTTTTTTCCTGCGGGTTGGCAGGTGGTGCCTGGGAGCATCCTTCTTCCCCAGCCCGGTGGCAGAGCAGGAGCGGAGCCTTTGGAACCACGGGGGCAGGGGGGAGCTAAGCGAAACCGTCGTCCCCCCCCTCACCCTGGAGCTGGCTCGGGTTCCCAAGGCCACCAGCCAAGCAGAGCTGGTGGCAAAATGGTTCTTGGCACGACTGGGAGCAGCCTCCTTGAAGGCAGAGGCTGCCGAGCAGCTCCAGCCGCATCCCCAATTTGGTGCCCAGGTGGCATTTGGGGACCTCTCGTCGCTGGACATGGCTGGGGGGGGTCAGGACATGGGGGGGGTCAGGTGTGATGGGTGAAGCCTGAGGAGTGCTGGGGAGAGGGGGAGGAAGGGGCTGGGACCCTTGTGGGGCAGCAGTGAGGTCTCTGGTCCCAGCAAGGGAAGCCGGTGCTGCATCACCAGGAGTGGACTTAGATGGTCTCTATGGTCCCTTCCAACTCTATGGTGATGCATCACCAGGAGTGGACTAGATGATCTCTATGGTCCTTTCCAACTCTAAAATTCAGTGAAAAATTCAGTGAAATCATGCCCGGCTGAGTGAAAAATTCAGTGAAATCACCCCCGGTTGTTAATCCCCTCCCTCCGGCCGCATGAAAAACGATAATGCTTCCCCCTGTTTGATTCGTTGGAAGAAAAAGGGAAAGGTGGCAACATGCCCGGCTGTTAATCCCCTCCCTGCGGCCGCGTGAAAAACGATAACGCTTCCCTCTGTTTCATTCGTTGGAAGAAAAAGGGAAAGGTGGCAAAATTAAGACACGCACCAAAAAAAAAAAAAAACACAACGAAAAGTCTGAAAAAGATAATACCCTGTGGCTCCTAAATGGGTTTATTGCCAGGAAAATTGCTCAGCTTGGATAATAGGATCAGGGCAGGAAATTATCTGTGAAGATTGTGTCCTTCCCTGTGATGTGGGCACAGAGAGGGTCGGGAGCCCTCCCGGACCCCAAGGCCATTCCCACATGCCACCAGCCCCTTGGGGACAGCAGGGAGGGTGACACTAGCCTTTAGTGTTCTTCACCAGCGTGGTGGCCATGGGGTGCAGGAGTTGCTGGGCAGAGGCACTGGGATGGTCCAGCTCCTGCTGTCCCCGCTCTACCAGTGTCACCTCTCCAGGGGATTCTGGGGTCCCCATTGCTCGTCATGGGGCTTGGAGCCAAGCGCTCTGAGTGGGCACCCTGCTGTGACGCTGGTGGTGATGCTCTGCCCAGGCTCTGCTTCAGGGACAGGAGGTGAGCACCCAACCCCAGGAGATGTTGAACCACTTTAGGTCATATCAGTTGGTTCATTTTGCCCAGAGAAGCTGTGGCTGCCCCATCCCTGGAGGGGTTCAAGGGCAGGATGGAGGGGGCTTGGAGCAACCTGGTGTGGTGGGAGGTGTCCCTGCCCAGGGCAGGGGGTGGCACTGGGGGGGCTTTAAGGTCCCTTCCCACCCGAACCAGTCTGTGATTCTATGATGTGGGATATTTTCTCTTTGGGCCTTCTGCATCCAGCAAGGGGCTGAGACCTGGCCCACTCACTGCACCTCCTCTGTTTTCAGTACCTCCCAAATTGCCCACATTCCCTCACCGTGCCCTTGCATCCAGCAAGGGGCTGAGACCTGACCCACTCACTGCACCTCCTCAGGGGTGGCTGGAATGGCTGGCTCCGCTCTCAGTACCCCCCAAATTGCCCACATTCCCTCACCGTGCCCAGAAACACCCTGCAGCACCCCAACCGAGCAGCTCTGCCACTTAATTAGGTTAATGAAGGTGCTTCATTAGGGAAAGGTGGCTGAGGAGCTTGCAGCAGTGCTGGGAGACGCGTGTCCAGGCACAGTGGCAGCCCGGCAGATTTGGGGACAGAAGGTGACAGGGAGCAGGGGAAGGAGAAGCAGAGAAAAGGGAAAGCGGTGGCAAAGTGCTAATCCCTGGAAAGGAGGGCAGCCGGGACACAGGCATGGTGGCAGCCCAGCAGATTTGGGGACAGAAGGTGACAGGGAGCAGGGGAAGGAGAAGCAGAGAAAAGGGAAAGCGGTGGCAAAGTGCTAATCCCTGGAAAGGAGGGCAGCCGGGACACCGCGCCGCCCAGGGTCGGTGTTAATCCCTCATCTGCAAAGATTGTGCCCACAGACGCCTTAATCTCCGCTCCGAGAGGGGGACGCCGGGGACAGGGACGGGGGGACCGGTCCCTACGTGCGGTGCCGAGCATCCCCCATCCTGCAGGACCTCACTGAGCCCACGGCCTAGGAAGGATTTGTGCTGCTTGCCGCATCCATATGAGGAGCAGAGGGGATATGGCATCCCACCCGTGACATGAGTTTTCAAGGCCTCTGGCTGCATCTCTTTGCTGTTACACTGACCCGGGGATGGGGGGGAACTGTGTCCCCCATTCTCCTGGTGTGCTCCTGCTCAGGGTTCCCTACGTCTGTGTGTGCACCATCAGTGACACGGAGTGGGTGGGAGCTGGTGGTGGAGCAGAGGCTGAGATGTGGGTCTGCAGCTGGGTCTCCTCTCTCAAATCCCTCCTCCTGCCTCAGTTTATCTGCTCTCCTAACGCTGCGTGCAGGCAGCGAGGCTTCTTTAGCCCAGGTTTGTGTGGGGCACTGTCACCGGGTCACACTCTGGGTGCTGAGAAAGGGGTCCAGAGGGTTTCCTGGGGGGTGCTGGGACCTTATCAGGGCCACGGGTCATGGTTCGGGGGACGTTTTCCAGTCTCAGCCCCCAGATCTGGGGCTGGGCAGGAGGTTGTTAGCCTCCCCCGGGCTGACTCCAGGGCACCGTCGCCGGGTCACACTCTGGGTGTTGAGAAAGGGGTCCAGAGGGTTTCCTGGGGGGTGCTGGGACCTTATCAGGGCCACGGGTCATGGTTCGGGGGACGTTTTCCAGTCTCAGCCCCCAGATCTGGGGCTGGGCAGGAGGTTGTTAGCCTCCCCCGGGCTGACTCCGCATCTCTCTCCTTTCCAGGCGCATGGGAGAATGGTAGTGAGCCCGTAAGACCATGCTCTACACAATGACATGTTGGCTCCCGGTCCTGGTCCTCCACCTGGTCCTCCTGAGCCCCCCGCGGGTGGCAGCCTGCCCTGCCCGCTGCGAGTGCGCCCCGCAGATCAAGTCGGTGGTGTGTCACCGCAAGCGGCTCACCTCCATCCCCGAGGGCATCCCCACCGAGACCAAGATCCTGGAGCTCAACAAGAACCGCATCCGCTGCCTGAACCCGGGGGACCTCTCCCCGTACCCGCTGCTGGAGGAGCTGGATTTCAGCGAGAACATCATCTCCAATGTGGAGCCGGGCGCCTTCAGCAACCTGTTCAACCTGCAGACCTTGCGGCTGAGGGGGAACCAGCTCAAGCTCATCCCCCCGGGGGTCTTCACCAAGCTGACCAACCTCACCCTCCTGGACATCAGCGAGAACAAGCTCGTCATCCTGCTGGACTACATGTTCCAGGACCTGCGAAACCTGAAGAGCCTGGAGGTGGGCGATAACGACTTGGTGTACATCTCCCAAAGGGCCTTCTCAGGGCTGCTGGGCCTGGAGCAGTTGACCATTGAGAAGTGCAACCTGACCTCCATCTCGGCTGAGTCTCTCTCCTACCTCCAGAACCTGGAGGTGCTGCGGCTCCGGCACCTCAGCATCTCTGCACTGGAGGACCAAAACTTCAAGAAGCTCTACAACCTCCTGCAGCTGGAGATCGACAACTGGCCGCTGCTGGAAGATGTCTCCCCCACCAGCTTCCAGGGCCTGAACCTCACCTCGCTCTCCATCACCTACACCAACATCACAGCAGTGCCCGCTGCTGCCTTGAGGAACCTGGTGTACCTCCGGTACCTGAACCTGTCCTACAACCCCATTAGCACTGTGCTGAAGGGCTCCTTTAAAGACCTCATCCGGCTCCAGGAGCTCCACATCGTGGGCGCTCTCTTGGTGTCTGTGGAGCCACAGGCTTTCTCCGGCCTGAGACAAATCCGGCTGCTCAACCTCTCCAGCAACTTTCTCTCCACGCTGGAGGAGAGCACCTTCCACTCCGTCAACACATTGGAGACGCTGCGGGTGGACAGGAACCCCCTGGCCTGTGACTGCCGCCTCCTCTGGATCCTGCAGCGGCGGAAGACGCTCAACTTTGATGGGCAGCAGCCCATGTGCTCCTCGCCACCCGAAATCCAGGGCAATGCCCTGCGCGACTTCCCGGACTCCGTGCTCTTCGAGTACTTCACCTGCCAGAAGCCCAAGATAAAGGATCGGAAGCTGCAGCACGTGACGGCCCGGGAAGGACAGTCCGTGTCCTTCCTTTGCCGGGCGGATGGGGAGCCGGACCCCTCCATCGCCTGGGTGTCCCCCCAGCACCGCATGATCACCACCCGCAGCACAGGGCGGGCGACGGTGCTGCCGGGGGGCACCCTGGAGATCCGCTTCGCCCAAGTGCAGGACAGTGGCACCTACATCTGCATCGCCAGCAACGCGGGGGGCAACGACACCTACTTCGCCACCCTGACGGTCAAGGGGCGCCCGGCCGATGGGTCCCACTACGCCAACCGGACTTTGTACCTCAGCGAGTTCAATGACACCTCTCACAACGACACGCAAGTCTTCTTGAAGTTTACGTTGGACCTCAAGACCATCCTGGTCTCCACGGCCATGGGCTGCATCACCTTCCTGGGCGTGGTGCTCTTCTGCTTCCTCCTCCTCTTCGTCTGGAGCCGGGGACGAGGGCAACACAAGAACAACTTCTCGGTGGAGTACTCCTTCCGCAAGGTGGACGGTCCCACCACCACCACTGGCCAAGGAGGAGCCAGGAAGTTCAACATGAAGATGATCTGAACCTCTCCTGGAGGAGAACGGTTGTCTGCTGCCCGGCCCCGGGCACGGTCATGGTGGGATGGGGCCGGGGGGAGTATGGGAGCACCGGTGACATCCTGGGGCTGGTGGTGGGACCTCGCTGTGCTGGGATGTGGCTGGAGATGTGCCAGAAGCCAGTGGCGTCAACACCACAGGGTTGAGAAGTGGTGACCCTGGCTGTCCCAGCCCCATGGAGAGCCCTCGGGGCACAGGGGCTGTCCCAGCTCCAGGGGCTCCCAATGTAGCCAACACTTTTGCTACCAACTATGCATTTCTCTGGCCAAGAGATCAGCAGCATTTGGGCCTGGGGAAAAAAAAACTGCTTCCTTTTCCTCCCCCCACCCTCTTCCCCGTTGTTTTTTTAAGAGACTCTCCAGAAAACTTTCCTGGTGGTTGTTTATGGTTCTCCTCTTTTCTTCTTGTTGGGGTTTGGGGTTTTTTTGGTCCAATGATTTTTTTTTTTTTAATGAATTTCCAAGAGAATAGTCTTCCGGGGCGATGCGGGACTGGGGCACCGGGGGAGGTTGGGCTGAGCTGGGGGTCTCCCCCAACCCCTCGGCAAAGCCAGGACCCCCCCCTCCCCGGGGCGCTGCCGTGCCTTGAGAGCTTCCCATCAGCGGATTTAAGAGGTGGCATCTACAAACGCGGGTGCCCGAGGACGCGCCTGCACAAGCAATAATAACCCTCCCACAGCGAGGCTCTGAGAAGGTGGCAGAAAAAAGGGGGGAAAAAGGCAAAATGAGGCCATTAAAATCAGGAGGAGCAGCCCCAGGGTGATGCAAGGCCCCCTCTTTGCGTCTGCCCCACAGCAGCGGTGAAAGGATGGGCGGATGGGGTTCATACAGGTGCAAAAAGGCATTTTTGGGTCCGTTTCCTTTGGTTTGCAAAGTGGAAGTCTGCGGGAGAGCAGGAGCTGGCTCGTCCTGCGCGGGGAGGCCATTCTGCCTGGGAAAGAAGAGGAGAGAAAGGCTTAGGACAAGCAGCTCAGGAACCGACAGCAAAAGCTCTGGGACAAGGTCCCAGCTGGCACCTCCATCCTGTCTCCCCGGATCCTGCGCTGGGGACCGCGGGTCGGAGTCCTGGGCTCTGCTCCCTGCAGCCATGGGGACGGTCCCCAGGGCAGCGATGGCTTCAGCTCAGGGAATGGGATTTTTGGGTGGGAGAAGGAGCAGACCTGGCACTGCTGGAAGCAAGGAGCCTGGACAGGACCTAGATGGGCTGAGGAGCCCGTTGCTTCCTCCCCCTCCTCCTCCTGCTCGTCCTCCTCCTCCCACCACGTGCACCCCCAGGGTTGCTGCAGGTCCCACCTCCCTGTTCCCACAGGCACGTCCTTCCACCTTGGATGTCCCTTTCCAGTTGGCAGTGGTCAGACTGGTCACACTGGCCTTCGGGAGCTGGAGAAGACAGCTGCCCATCTCCTGCTGGCAGTCTCCAGGCCTTTGGGGTTGCACTGGAGGCAGGAGCTCCCGAGGGGTTGGGGCTGTAACCCCTCCATGAGCTTCACTGTGGGGGCACAGGAGAGGGTGACTGGTCCCCAGCACCCCATCCTGCTGTCCCCATCCTGTATCTCATGGGTACTGGGTGTCCCCCCTGGCCCCTGGTTGAGTCCTGGGGGGGGGTGAGAGGGGTGAAGGAGCCAGTGGGCTCAGCCCCGGGCCCAAAAGGTGGTCCCTGGGCTGCAGTGGGGGTGGGGGGTACTGCCCACCTCTCCCCCCCCACCCCCTGCCGTGGGTCTGGCCGTTGCCCCTCACATCCTGGTACCCCCTGGCTCCCCGAGCCGTGCATGCCGTGTCGCACCGGGGGTCCCACCGGCATCACCCGGCGCCTTTTTCCGT